TAAATTCAAAAATTCAACTATGTCCACGACGGGACTTGAACCCTCAACCTCAAGGAGGGAGGGCAACACCGGATACCGCTGGACTAGAAGCCCTTTGGTTTGAATTTAGCCACATCTCACGCCATCTGGTAGTCCTTGGAAGTTACATACAGGCAGGGGCGGAACACGAGCACTAGAACTAGAGGGGCCGATATCAAATTTTCAAAACCAACCACTTATAGATAGACTTTTTTTTATTAGAAACGACAAATAACATTTTAAATATAGATTGATTTTTATAATGATATTCGCTACATAAAAGTTAGCAAATAACTACATTTACATGATAATCCAACATAACGACCAGCAAATATCTACTAAGAAACAACTATATATTCTAACAAACAATAATTTTAACAAAAATACTAATTAATGTAACAAAATAAAATAAAATTTGGTAATTAATAGATATATTTATATTATAAAATTCTAACCATACTAAAGAATATCTTTACTTTGTTTTCTTAGATATTTTGCATTTTACTTACCATATATTCTAACCATACATTTATATTTTACATTTTACTTACCATATACGATTGTCATTACTCATATTATGTTTTACCTATATATGAATCTTAGTGATTATTTTAATTCTCTTTCATTTACATTTCAGAAGAATAACAAATAATAAGAAGTAAGAAGTAAGAAATAAATTTGTTTATTCAATAAAGTAAAAGTTTGTTTTTTGCGGCTTTTAGACTTACGTCTTTTCATATCTTTTAGATAGATATACACAATCTTTTTTTACATATTGACTAATGACATGAAGAAATCGAGAAAATGATAAAGGGAATACCAAATACACACCTTATTTGTTACTCTGGTGATGGTGAGGAAAAAAGAGTGAAGCGGCAGCCGACAGTCACTTGACCGGCAAATAGCAGAGAGATCATAAGGAAGCGGCGAGTAGTCCGGCGACCAACATAGAGAGAGTGTGTATGTGTACCGGAATGGCGAGCAATCCGGCAACAAGTGAGGAGAAGGCGGTGGTGACGTTTTCGAACAGATTTGAGATTTCTTTTCCCGACTGCCAGAATAAATTCTTGTGATTTATTGTTTTCTTAAACGCAACGCTTATTAGATTATAGATTGGTGGGTTTTTATAGAGTTTTAAGAGTATTTTTTTTATTGATTTTGTTTCCTAAACAAACAAGGTTAGATTTGATTTTTTGCAAATTTCTTTTGATTGTTTTTATAGTATCATAGTTAATAATTTGTACACGTAAAACTGTTTAAAACAAGGGGGCCTAATTAGTCCTTTTGGTGATATTTCGTAAGTGATATACATATATACATGTATTATGAACGTCAAAACGAGGGGGGCCACGACCCCTCCTGGCCCCTAAGAGCATCCGCCACTGCATACAGGCATGACTCCATGAAACAAGTCCAGACTTTGCGTGATTCACTATGTCTAATGCAAAAAGGTACGACGTCTGTTTTTTAATTTGGACGCAAGTTTAAGGTTATTTGTGACCAACTGGCAGCAGTGGGACATCCTATTAATGAACGCGACAAGGCCCGCTCGTTTTTTGTGGTCTTGGCTCCGGTTTTGAATCCTTCTCCACCTCACAAAGGGCAGTCAAGCCTGCTCCAACTTTCCGCAGCCTGATGTCATATGCTGAAAGTCATGAGATTTTCATAACTTCCCTCCACATTGCTACTGTCACCACTCTGGTTGCCTTTACCGCCAACACGTCCACTCTGTCTCACAAACCAATTTCTTCCAACTCTCGTGGTCGTGGTGCATCATCTTCACTAGGTAGGGGGCGGGGTAGACGACCCCCACACTGTCAACTATGCAGAAACAATGGTCACTATGCGTCCTCCTGTCCGGATCTTACGTCCTATGCCAAAGGAAGATCTTCCATTGATGCTAACTTGGTTCATTCTTTTTAGACCAAGTGCAACACCACAAACCTGATTGGTATGTGGACTCTAGAGCTTTTGCCCACATGACCAACTCATCTTCCACCTTGGACACGTCTTCATCCTACACGGGCAAAGGCAATGTAGTTGTTGGCAATGGTAATTCCTTACATTTCTCAGGTATTAGTAACTCACATCTTTCTCACCAACTTACTTTGTTAGATGTTCTTGTAGTACCACACATCACTAAAAATTTGCTTTCTGTTAGCAAGTTAACCAATGATTCTCCCATGGATATTCTTTTTTCTGACATATATTTTGCCATTCAGAATCGAAGCACCAATGATATAATAGCAAGGGGTAGATGTGAAGAGGGACTTTACATTCTTGAGCAAGGAAACAAGGCGTTTTTAGCTGCTTTAAAAAATAAAAAGACTAGTGCTTCTTTTGAGATTTGGCATATTAGACTAGGACATGTAGCTTTTGATATTGTCACTTTATTGGAAAAATTGGGTTCTTTATCTCTTACATCTATTTTACCCAATTCGGGCATTTGTTTATCTTGTCAGATTTCTAAAAGCAAAGGATTTACCTTTTGATGATAATTTAAAACGCTCTTTGCATGTTCTTTACCTTATTCATTGTGATCTTTGGGGACCGTCACCAATTGAATCCACAGATGGGTATCTATATTATGTATCTTTTATTGATGACTTTTCCAGGTTCACTTGGTTCTATCCTATGAAGAAAAAAGTTCCGGTAAATTCTCACAAAAATTTTAACCTTTGTACAAATACAGTTCTCTTGTAAGGTTAAAACCTTTCAAAGTGACGGGGGCACTGAATTCATCAATCACCCTGTTCATCAACTCTTTGTGACAAATGGAACACATCATCGAGTATCTTGTCCTTATACTCCACAACAAAACGGTAGAGTCGAACGAAAGCATCGTCACATCACTGAAACGGGTCTTGCAATGCTCTTAAATGCACAAGCCCCAACTTCTCTATGGGTAGATGCATTTACCTCAGCGGTCTTCATCATCAATCGCTTACCTACCAAGCTACTCGAATATAAAAGTCCATCTGAATTTCTCTATCACACGGTACCAAACTATGACATGTTTCGGGTATTTGGTTGTCGGGTATTTCACTATCTTCATGACTATGCACCCCACAAATTGGCACCTAGAAGTGCTCAATGCATTTTCATTGGGTACAACACCACTTACAAAGGCTACAGATGTCTTGATCCCATTACAAATCAAATCTATACCACTCATTATGCTCAATTTGATGAGTCTACTCTCACGTTTACTGGTACAACATCCCCCACGGATCTGGATAAACTTCTCATCACTTCATTTGATGAATGTTTGCCCGCTTCTCCATCTCCAGCATCCACCACCGTAGCATCTTCATCATCAACGGACTCTGTTGCCCACACTCACTCGTCCACTGTCTCGTGTAGACTGAAAGAATGGCTAGCGGTGTTTGTAGTTTGGGAATGTAGACCGAAACAAATCAACATAATAAGTTACAACCTTTTAATCATATGAAGATGTGGTTTTATTAATTAAAACAATCATTTAATATTTGGGTCTAATACAAAATTGAAGAATTAAAATCACATAAACAAAAAAATCAAAGACTAAAATTATCAAACAAAAATTCTGTTAAAATTTTACGTTTATTTGGTGAATAACTCTTGAAGACGATGTAATAGAGGAGTCATTTAGATGGGCTTTGAACTTTTAAGCATTACACTACTACTTTTGCTTTAACTTAGTCCTTACCCATTATGGGCTTTTATTATAGAAAGATTAATTAAACCCAAATTAGAATATTAAATTTTATGGTTAGCATGATGCGGTTCGATATGGTTATTGGCTAAAACCGATCTGCACACCCCAAATTCAGTTATTCTAACCACGAGACCGAATGGTACAGTTATTTTTGCTGTGTGATTTTTCGGTCTTTTATATGGTTCAGTTTCATATGATTGTGGTTCGGTTTCAAATGGGTTACTTTCCGAACAACCAAGCAAGAGCGGCGTTTCATGGATCTATGGATAATGTAGCAGATATGGAAAAGGGAGTCGGAGGTGTCGAATCATCGATAGGAAAAATAGTGAATGACAATTTCATTGATCGAGGGAGAGTGTAGAGGAAAAGGAAGGTGGGGTGCTTAAAAATGTTGGTGGATTTCGTTTCCCCCTTAGCTATTAAACGAGTGTTCTTCAAAAATTTATAAAACGACAGAAATTTTAGGATACGCAAAAATACGTGTCCTAGATCCTTCAAATTTTGAGAGAGATGACAATATTTTTTAGACATGCTTTTGGGTATCATAAATCACTTCGTGTCATGATTCATGTGTCAATTAAGCCTATATTGTCCGGATTTAGTAAGTGTGACAGGAAGAAAGTAGTAAAGTTGTGACGACGCTGAAGTTACACTTTTTGAATAAAGAAGTAGTAGAGTACTCATGAGCCCAACCACAATGAGAAAATTAATTAGTTTTGACTTAGGAAGTGGTGATTTTTTTTTCTTATTAGGTTGAATTAATAGTTCTTAATTTACCGTTTTGAACTTAATTAATATATGTTTGTATTATTGCATTTAATAATTATATAATAAATCTAAAATATATTTTATAAGAGTATTGTACGGGAGCTTTACAATTTACAAGTACTTGTAATTAATTCGGCAACAAGAAAACCAAACTTTCCTTTTTTTTGTATATATAGATGCACTACACTCGCAGGTGAGAGTAATTAACAAATTTAGAAAAAAAAACTCTAAAGATCTCCAATAAATATGGAATTCCGATGTTTACGCAATACAACAGCATTGCAGATATTCAATCACAAGTACTTAAAAAACTAAAAACCATATAATTTCCTTAAATAATCACCTTCCTATTTACATTACAACGTTTTCTCAAATCCAAAACTAACACTTGCCCGTGTATAAATATAGCCACACAAGGGATAATCATTCACATTCAACTTCAAAAACATTCTTCTTCTTCTTCTTCAGATTCTTGTATAGATTTCATTGAAAGTCTTAAACTCTTCATTGCAAAGCAATGGGAAATCTCTTGGCACAGGATGCAAAAGGAAGAAACAAGCGTGCCCATTCTGCTTGTATGGCATTTGAGGATGATGATAATGATGAATATTATCTACTGGCCGGGGAGGATGTGGTTGAGAATGAGGCTGATAGAGAATATTATCGAAAGAAGATCATGGAATTGTATGAGGAAAAGATGAAGAAGTTTGCTCGCGAAGATGCCTTAGCCAAGCAAATTAAGTGTGAAGAAAGAAAAAAGTTGTGCAAACGTCCTACGAAGAAGATAAAGATGCAGCAACCTAAACCTATTACACAGATTGTGAGCAACCAGGTAACCCAGCAGTTGAAACAGTTCATCACCAATAATGAGATGAACGGAGTTGAAAGAAAAAAGCGGAAAAGTACTCCAACAGTAGAGAACAAAAAGGTGGAGATTGTGAGGAACAAGATAACCCAGGAGTTGGAAGAGTTCATTACGAATGAGCTGAAGGGGAAAGAAGCGAAGGTGGTGATCCAGAAAACATTGTACAAAAGTGATCTGGAGGAAAACCAGAACAGGTTGAGTATGCCGATGAAACAAGTGATCAAATCGGATGAGTTCTTGAGGAAAAATGAGAAACAAGATTTGGAGAATGGAAAGGAGTTTGAGGTGAAATTGTGGGGGCCAAGATTAGAGATGCATAAGAAGCCGATGGTGTTGAAGATGTGGCATATGAAGAGCACCAGCAACTACGTCCTCAAAACCAACTGGAACCACTTTGTGATGGCGAATAAAAAGGATTTGGAGATAAACAAAAAGATTCAGGTTTGGTCGTTTCGAAGAGATGAGAAGTTGTGCTTTGCAATTGCATGTTTGGAGAGAGATGTTGATCCTCAAAACGGCGCCGCTTAGTTTTCTATTTCCTTTATTTTGTTCATGGTTATTCAGATTTTTTTTTCCTTTATTTGTTCATGGCTATTTAACAATGTACGTAAATTGGTTTCATCTAAAGATCGAATTTGATAAAGTAGTTTAACATGGATATTTTTTTTTTAAAACAAAAGATATAATTGTTGAAAATTATATAGATTTGAAGCATTACGACCATGAAATTGTTCCAGGTGATTAATATCACGAGAGGGTGACAGGGTGTTAGATTGGAAACGTTTTGTGTTCCACAATAAATAATCAAACAGATTTTCAGTTAAAAGAATCATTTGTAGAAAGATATTGTAATTAAAGTAGTTATCTTAAAATAAAATCTAGTTATCTACTAGAGTCTAGATATGGGCTTTATTGAAGTTATCCACAAAACGAAGTTTTTATTCTGAATAAAATAAAATTCAAATTCAAATTCGGTGGAAAAAAATCAATATAAATTAAACAAAACATTCTTCGTTTTAATCAAATTAATAAAATTTAATGAGAAAAAATGTATTTTTAAAAATAATATTTACGAATTTTATAATTAAACAAAATACTAAGCTTTAGAAGGTTGTCTGATAAATGTGATAAAACATTTTTTTGGAAAAGAATGTTGGTTGGGTGATACATTCTTAAAGAGATTTTTCCTAATATCTATGCGATTGATAGGAAGAAAGATTGTTTAGTGGGGGAGAGGATTATTAGTTTATTACTGAAGATGAAAAAATTCTCATTATTGTTGGGATTGGTCGAGACATCTTAGAAGGGGACGTAAATCTAGACAATTTTATGATTTGACTAACTTGTTGGATGATTTTCAATTTTATGATGGGCGTGACAAGTGGCTATGGAAGAAATGGTTTTTCTGTTAAATCTCTTTGTGATCTTATGCCTAAAAACGTTGGTGAAGATCGCTTGAATCCATTTAACAGGGTGAAATGGGTGCCCCTTAAAGGTCAATTGTTTTGTTTGGCGATTGTTTAGAAACAAAATTCTCACTTCTGTGAATCTAATCAAGCGTGGTGTTTAGATTTCCTCCTCCGTTTATCCCTTCTGTCATATTCATGATGAATGCACGGATCATGTCTTATTCTCATGTTCTTCTTTTGCTTTTGTCATATGGAGATGGATGGTGGTTTGGTCTTCTTGTTTGCAGATGTAGCTCTCTTCTTGTGATGAGTTATTAGCTTTACTCAACACCAATGTTGGAAGTAAAAGATTGCAAAAGATGAGGTTGTCAATTGTCCATACTAACCCTTTGGATGATCTGGAAGACGTGCAATGCTATTCTCTTTAGGAATGAAAGGTGGGAGATTATGTTAATATGCGGATGATATTAGTATTAACTCCATTAATTGGATTAAATATAGATCTAAATGTAGCTCCATTAAATAGGCCGCTTGGAGCACTTCCCCCATTTTGAACTATTTCATGTAATTTTCTCGAGATTCTCTCGAGTTATTTCTTTCTTTTTATATATCGCCTGCTGTTCCAAAAAAAATAAAAAAAAAATAAAAAAAGATCCAGTCTTGCATTTAGAACAGACCGGTTTGAGAGGATTCTACCAACCATGGACTGGACCGATTGTGGCATACTGTGCCGGTTTTTCCGGTTCTTTGACTGGTTGGGCCGGTACAACATTTATTGTGTATGGTACAATTTGATGAAACATATGGTAAATTCATTTAGTTGGACTTGTACAACATTCATTGCATATGATATTTTAATAAAATTATTGAAGGTAGATCCCTTATTGTTTAAATAAATTTCGCAATACACAATTGCTCAAGAGGAAAAAGGTTAAAGACTAGTCAACGATCATGATTCACTTTAAAAATCTAGAATTATGTGTTTTTCATTTTATAAATCAACTCGATGCCCAAAACACAATTCTTGTTTAATCACATTCTTAATCATCATCAAAACAACTAAATTACAGAATTGGTTATTCTTGTGATTTCTATCCAAGTATTAATTAAGTTTCCTGATTCCATATCCCTAGAAACTTCATTATATATATATTTTGATTTCGATTACAATCCATTTTAACTAAATTGGCCCATAACCTTCATCAAGAAAGCATACTCATACGCCATTTCCTCACAATGACCAAAACGCCCTCCTTCACCAAAGTGGCCCCCACTCATATTCGTCTTCAGAATCACTAAACGAGAGCAATTGGCACATGTGGTTTCTCTTACTCTTGACACGTATTTCACACCTTCCCATACTCCCACTCTATAAACAAAATTTTTTACACATCAATTCAAAAATAAAAAATAAAAAAGTCTCGGCTATTTAATTCAAAATAATTTTTTACCTCGAGTCATGTAATGATGATGTCACAAGCATTGAAGGATAACAGACTCCTCTACGTATATTATCATAAGGAGAATACTTCATAATTAAATTGAAATCAAATTCCTTTTGAGGATTTCCAAATTCTTCATAGTCTAATAATGTAAGTGGTAAACTTGGATCCAATAATGTATTGCACACATCGACAAATGGAACCTTTAAAATGGCAGATCTGAATAACTCTGGATTCATATTAATGGCTGCAGCAACAAGAAAACCTCCAGCACTATGTCCAATAGCACCAAGTTGGTTTTTGCAAACATACCCCTCTTTTAATAGATATTCTCCACATGAAACAAAATCATATATTGAATTTAATTTGTTCATTCCACTTCCACGTTTATGCCATGACACATCACCACCACCACCTCTGACATCAGCAAATGCAACCACCCAACCACGATCAAGTAAACTCAATCTTTCAGAACACCAACTTTTGTCCAAAACTTCTCCATATGATCCATACCCATGAAGAATCCCACATGATTCGCCTCTTTTATGTGTTTTATGTGAATACAAGATTGTTAAAGGAATTAACGTTCCATCATGGGAAATCACTTCTTTTCTTTCACAACAATATGTTTCTGAAACATTCAACCATTCGTGTTCTTCATTTGAAGAAATTCCCAATACTTCCTCTTGATGAACAATAGAGAAAGTCCTTCGTGACATGTCATAGTCAACAATCAAATCAGGCATCTACGGTTGACAACATGACTTTAGAATGATATTGTTAATAACATATGATCATATAGGGTCACACCTTTATCAAGTAGTCACTTAGTGAATATTTATTAAAATTCGATGATTAATAAATATTATTAACTCTTGTATTTAATTGAGAATTATTATTTATATGAAAATAATGTTTTTGATAGTATAACTAATTATTATATCATAAGATATGATTTAACATGTTGTGTACAAGTTTTTGGACCTTTACAAGTTCATTTATATAATGCATATAAACTATAGATGATGTTCTTCTTGAATGATAGAATTTATACCACTGGAGATGAAAGCACTACTCGGTATACTGAATTCATGAAGTCATGATTTGACCCTGGAAGAACACTACACGAGTTTGATGGAAAAGGGAAATACCACGGATCAAGATCATCGATTCCCATTTCTTTCTGCAATAAAAAAAAAAAAACAACTCAAAAATCTTGAAAATACATAAAGATCTTATAATTAACAAACATGATATGGGGTTTTATGTAATTATACCTCATCATTGGATTGAATGGGCATTTTGATGGAAAAAATTACTGGGGAATCCTTTTTGTTGAGGTAAAGTACTATATGCTCATCGAAAATATCCATGTCTTGTATTCCACTACCTTTACTTGGTATAATTATTTTCTAAAAAAAGTTCCCATTTAGCACAAAAACAAAAAAAAAGTACTAAATGGAATGTGAGTAGAAAGAAAAACCTGCCAATTAGCTAAGTGTATATCCTTAACATGGCATCGAGCCAAGTAATAATTTGTATCAAATAACTCCTTTTGAGATGCATTTGTTAGAATATAGAAGAATCCTTTATGATGTTCCAAAAAAAATTGTACACCAGAAACACGAGTATGCACTTTTTGTAAACCATCTTGTGGGTTATTTGCATCTATTATGTACACCTGTATTTCAAATTTACAATCATCAAGATTCAAAATAAACCATGAAATGAAAAAAAAAAAAAGTATATACAAATTAATTGATTTAGATAAGTTCCTTCCTCTGATGAAGTCCTTGTGTTTGAATTCACAGTTATGAATTTTCCATCTTTTGTACTCGTGATGTCTACACAAAAGCTCGGATCATTTTCTGTATACACCATGACATCACTTACATGATCTGATCCCAACGTTGTGTAGTGTACTCTGTTTTTGTGACATTTATTAGTAAAAATGAGTTGGATTTAAACAATATAATTGGTTTTATGAAAAGAAGAAAAAAAAAAAAAAAAGCTTGCCTATAAGGTCGTTGGCTTTGATCACATAGTGTATAAAACAACGTATGGCTATCTTGAGCCCATGCCAAGCTAACAACATTTTCAACTCTTAATGAAGGAATAAGGGTCCCACTTTGAAGATCCTTAACTTGAAGAAGAAAGTGTTCTTCACCAGTTACATCAATGGTATATGCTAGAAAATTGTGATCAGGTGATACTCTACATGTACCCACATGAACATACCCTAAAAATATGCAATTAGAGATATGCAAGTATTTAATAAATATAAGAAAGGGGTAAACGTAAACTTACCATGTTCTTTTGCAATTTCATTCCAATCAAGTAAAATTTGTTCATTTGAAGATCTAATTGTTGCATAATTGACCACACGCTTTACCCAATTTGTATTTTCAATTGCCAACTTCCGACATAAAATGGGGTATTCTTTTTCCTCTGGTATATATTGATAATACAACCTAATTAACACCACACGCAAAGTAGGGTTTTTGTCAATTGGTGTATACATGTTCTAATATTGTTGACGACACTAAACGTATTTGAAAATCAATAGGTAAGACCTTAAAAGTCAAAATTATCGCACTTTATATAAAATGCGTTAGCTTGAGAGAAATAAAGCCAGATGAGGGTTTTACCAGGGGCCCCAGCGTTCAGGTGGAGTGGAAATCTGACCAGGCAATCGGCAAATCATCTCGGAGAATAGATTTTGTTGCAGGTTTCGGGTATCGGCCATGAACGCTTCCGAATAAGCGTTCTCATGGTGAAGGTGTTTGAGGAAATCAGGGTCATTGGTGTTAGACATCCAGTGATATGAATCTTCCCAAGAAACCCCATGAGCTGAGACTTTGAATGGCACTTTCTTAGCTACTGGCGGCGGTTGTGATGATGGTAGCGGTGGCGGGTCTGTTTGGTGGCAGAGTGAAGATAAGAAGTAGGTGTTTATGTTGCTAATGGGGTAAGTGAAGGGTAGTAATTTATTGGTTTTTCTGATTGATCTCAAGAAGATCAAAGAAGCCATGGAAATGGTTTGGGCGAGGTCCGCAATAACCATCAGGTTCATGATTTAGGAGAAACCGACGTTTTGTTAATTGCAAGTCGGTACCTAATGTTTACATTAATTCAAAGATAAATAAATAAATAAATAATAACCTAAAGTTGAAAAAATGTTTTTAGAAAAACTAAGTTTTATAAAACAAAACAAAAATTAAGTTAAAGGAAAGGAAAAATGACGAAAAAAGCACTATATTTTGTCAAAAATTCGGTTTAACCATCAGTTTTTAATAATTTATGAAAAAACCACCAATTTTTAGTAAAATGTTTCACTGAGACCACTGGTACCTGTTATAGCCAGTTTTGCAAGTCAATTACGAAAAAACTACTATATTTTATCACTATTTAAGATTTAACCATTCATTTTTCTATTTTTTCTATTAAACTGAAAAGTTTTGGGGTTATATTTCATCATTATTTATGGTGCATCAACAAGTCCATAACAACATATTTTT